ATATATCTATATATATATCACTCTTAGGCAGGACTTTAAAAATGGCTGGCAGGTTCACTTTAAGGGAATAACAGTTGATAAAAATAAAAGTTCAACACAGCAACATAACAAGTAACTAAAATACTAGATAGTCATCCTGTAAAGCCATAAGAGTCAGTAATGATATATATTTGAGCATTGCTGCCTTGGGATATAGTTCAGCTATACTCACTGATAGTGATGGGCCGAACACACCTGAGTTCGGTTCGAGTTCGAACTTTAGAACATGGAAAAAGTTGGGACTCAAGTGCATGACCTTATCATTCTTATCACTGTGTGCCAGATTGTGAAGGTGCCAGAGACACTTTGCCCTATCACTTTGCCGCACCTCTGCATATGTCTAAATCCTCTCTTGTCATGTATCTTCTAAATGCAGCAAAAAAATGTTATACCCAGACATTGGAAACATCCACAACCACCTGAAAGAATGGCTTACCAATATCCAGGTAGTAGCAGTCAGCAGTCCATACCAGTCAGGAAACCATGACCCGCTTCCTTTTGACATGGACGCGTTGGCATTTGTTTAAGTTCTCTCCCACTTATGTGATCCTTACCTCATAACTCGTACTGCGTAATATTTCTTTTCTTATGTCATATCACAATCTCCCCATTTATTTAGACCCCACCCACTGCGGGGACTTCTCCAGTCACCCCATCAGCCTATGCTATTCCCCCTTTCTCATAGGAGCTAGTGGGGTCATCCCTGGGTATCACCCAGTTGGGGGCACTTTTTCGCTTTTCCCCCTTGTTTCTGCCCCTTTTTGAGGTCTTCTCCCCATCTTTCCCTCTCTTCAACCCTGTCCTTCTTGAGCTACCCTAACATCTTTAACGCTTTCCATTTTCTTCTGGTTCTTGTTTCCCTTCCTCTGACCACTAACATCCTGTATAGCCTCAAACACTAGATCGGCTTCCAGAGTGGCTCAGTGCAATAGTTACAGGGCATCCTTCCTCTCCATCCCTGATCTCCTATTCCCACAATATGTATACTATGCAGTATCTCAAATTGCTTTACCTGAAGATTACTTTACTGGATATTGTTCATAACTTTGTTTTTACTTTTTAAAAATGTATATATAAATTGTTGTGTACTGTTCTTAATCTCCTTCCTGAAAATATTTGACTATTTTCATTTTTTTAATCCTTCTGTGAATTTGTAGCTGTTTATTCTTTGTATCTTTGTATAATTTAAAAAAAAAAAATTACCTGTGGAGAAGCTGGGGTACAAAATTCCTATAATTTTCCACTATATGCACACTTACCTCCCGTGGGAACCCCACAGTACTCCTTGCACTCTTTCTCTGTGTAGAAGTGATTGCCGTTTCCTTTACATCCTCCATACAGGAAGGTAACACATTTGCCTTGAGCTGAGTTGAACGCCCAGCGGGATTCAGACAATCTGCATGGGCCTATGGTAATAGGTAACCTGCAAGCGGCTGCAATTAAGAAGAGAATATCAGCTCAGTTGTCAATTGTTTGTCATTTGCTCAAGAAAGAAAGAGGAAACGGCCTTAGCTTTACTCCATTTTGCATCACCTCAGCCCCATGAACAGCTAACATTGAAAAATGTTATGGGGACAGATCTCTAAACCCTGGCACAGTCTCTGAAATCTGACCTGCTTTTGTAAACTATACAACACAAATTCTCCTAAGGAAAGAGCTTTTAAGGGTCTGTGTCCATCGGCTTTTGTTCACTTCAAGAAGGCTTTGCATTGGCATACATGTCTATGAGAATGCAAAACCAGGTGAAATGCAGGTCAGAAGGAGGTCAACTGCAAGTCAAATGCACCTGTCAAAAAATTCTGAATGATCTCAGTGTTAAACTAAAGGCACTGACACAAGCCCGAAGCCCGTCAACTTAGACCCTTAAAGTTTTCTCCCTGTGTTTGCCATGGTCAGGTTGTAGTACAGGACATTTCAATGATAATGGAGTGGCTCCAGCAGCCCATACCAACCCTCAGTCCTGCACGTCTGGAGGCATTCCCGCTCAGTAAAGAAATTGTTAGGGTTTCCCAGGCAGCCACCATATTTAAACTTGTCACAGGCCATAGATGAAGTGTTGTAGAAATAGCGATCGTTGGATCCTAAACAAGGACCAGCAGCCGGAGGCATGTGGCAGGAACCTAATGAAAGAAAACAAGAGATTAGAAATCAGGGCCCTGCATCTTATGTGCAACTCCAGCCTAACTCTGTTAGTTTTTGAGAGAACTGGGAATTTCCATGTTTTTCTTTCTGTCTTTGGCTTCATTTTAGAGATTTCACCTCATTTCCTGTCCAACTGTCACCTGCATAGGAATTGAGGAAAGTTCTGAACAGTTTGGACACAGCAACAAAAGCCTATCAGAGGTCTAACCATGTTATACTAAAAGTGTTTTTATTGCTAAATATTTCCTTTCACTTCCTGTTGCTCTCACCCCTGAGGCAAAAATGTCCCCAAACCTACACTACACTATCTAGACTTAACCCCCCCCCAAAAAAAAAGGTTGGACCCTAACGTCATCCTGTAATCTTGCATAAAGATGTTGTAAAGGAATGGGTAGTGAAGGTAGTTTTTTCCTTTAAATATTGAGTGCTTTAGGATATTCTTTAGGGGGTTTTAATGAGCCCGACCTTTGGTATACTGGAATAAACTATAAGGTTTCAGCAGACACTTAGGGGGTCTTTTTATAAACAATTAGGTGGGCCCTTCCCCCTGCAAATATTTGTGAACGTTTATTTTGGGTGAATAATGCCAAAAACAAATGTTCTTAATATACTGTATTTTTCCCAGTTCGATTGTAGTGCTGCAATAATACATAATGACCACTAGATGGAGCTGAATAGTATATACTATACTGTATAGGATACAAGTTTTTTTTATGCTTCTCTGCGCCATCTAGTGGCCATAATGTATTATTACAACAGCACACTACATTAGAAAGGGGAAACGCCATCTAGTGACCATGATGTATTACTACAACACTACATTTGAACTGGGAAACTGCAAATTGTTTATACATAGACCACTTAATGTCTATTCACACTCCGTTTTCATGCAGCATTTTGTTGTATGAAGATGCAATGCAAATAGAAATCCCATTCTTTCTTATGTGGCTGGCTCACATCTATGCAATGCAGAAAGGGGAAGGTAAATTAGAAGGGTCCATTCACACCTACGCTTGTGCATTACCATGCATGCTGTTGTATGAAGATGCAATGCAAATAGAAATCCCATTCTTTCTTATGTGGCTGGCTCACATCTATGCAATGCAGAAAGGGGAAGGTAAATAAGAAGGGTCCATTCACACCTACGCTTGTGCATTACCATGCGTGCTGTATTAACACGGAACAGTGTGAATCCAGCCTTAGAAAACTTTACACAGTGCTGAAGCAGCAGTCAGCACTCCTGTTAAAATCTGTATTCAATGCTCTGGGACTGGAGCTGAAGAACACTTTTAAGAGGTTTCAAGAAAAACATTCAGAGCTTACTAAAAGTTTTGAAAACAATTACTGAACATTCAGAGTGGCGCTTACAAGCTGATGTGAACTGACACAGTTGTCGTTCAGCTAGTATGCCGATTGCATTGTCTGGTATGCTGATGTGTGCACACTCTGTTGACTGAATATGTTGCCAGGGTATATGAACTATAATATGGCAAAATATTTCAAAACTAAAAAATAGAAAAACCACAACAGATCACCTTTAAAACCTGAAAACATATTGATCTAAAAAGATGGCAGCCTAAGAGGGGCACCCACCAGCTTTGTTTTTGGTAAAAGGGGTGTTGTCCATGCCTCCGGAGCCCTCTTCCTCGGCCACTGAACGTGCAGCTCTCTGCTTACAAGAAAATATATAAGTTTACAAGATGAAACTGACAAAATAACCATAACTAGATGAAGATGAGCAATAATAGTGTTACATACCGCATGTGTCACCTCGATGTCCCCTGGAGTACATTCACCTGTGCAGAAACACAACATTTGGCCTTAAAGGGGATATATACTCATCGTTGTTTAGTTATACATGAAGAAGAGACTAACTTGATGTAAATAATCTTATCAGTGTGTGTTAGTGTTTTATAAACCTTCCTTCTATGTATACTTTATAATGATATACGTATGCGGTGGCAGCCATAGTTGCTCACAACGTACACAGGTACTGCTTTAGGCTTTGTAGTGCTGCAATGGATGTGCTTTACTACTCCTCCTTACAATGCAAATCTATGAGTGGGCTGACAATGTACTTGCTGATATCTTGTCTTAAAGGAGAACTATGAGGTAAGTGATTTTCACTCACCTCATAGTTCGAGCCGACATGTGACAATGAAACACGTCACACGTCGGCTCAATAGATCGGGAAGTGAGCAAACACATACCGCCGCTCGCTCACTTCTCGATCATGTCCCTGCAGAGAGCCGTGACTGTCACTCACGGCTCCCTGCAGGGATTCCCCCCTCTCCGATCCTCCAGCGCTGACTGGCGGAACGGACCGGGGAGGGGGCGGGTACAGCTGGCTCTGCCTCTAGATAGGCAGAGCCAGCTGTCAATAACGCAGCTGGGTGGATATCGACAGTATTGTTGGGATCCATCCCGGCTGCGGCGGTCTCAGCTATAGCTCGCAGTATACTGAGCTTTGGGTGACGGGAGGACGCTAGTTTATGTCCTCCCGTGACCCTTAGGAGAACTATGGGGAAAAACACCGACATCATAGTTCTCCTTTAATAGAGAATGAGTAATTGCAGAGTCATCAAGAGCTCCCCCTAGTGGGTAAGATACATATATCTACTTGTAATACAATTACAAAGATAGATAGATAGATAGATAGATAGATAGATAGATAGATAGATAGATAGATAGATAGATAGATAGATAGATAGATAGATAGATAGATATGGAGACAATCATGTGTCTATGTATAGCAGGAGACACTGCCAGATACCCCAGGATTTTTGGAAAACAAATGTTATTGTTTCTACATAGATACGTTCATCCATAGGCTCAGCCCAACAGCATTTGACATACAGTACATGCTTGCTCTCCCACTTCCCTGCCTGCATGACCTATCTTTTTTCCATTTAAATTGTTATTGAATATTTGCAAACATACATAGACAGCAATGTAGGAACAACAACAATATATAAAAGAAAAGCAATATTATGTCAGTTATAAGCCTGCATGACATTCTATACCTTCTATACCAACCAATCAAGTTCAGCTCTATTTTTTTCTACTTTAGAAATCACACATCTGATTGGCTGCTTTGGGTAACACAACATTCAGCTTCATATAACATTAATATACAGTGTATATTAAACTAAAGAAAGACATCCTTCGTAATGCTACTAGAAAGAGAAGATTGCTTTATCTACACCAGATGCACGCATCCCGTATGTAATGAATCCAAGAGGGGTCCTTCAATCCATATTTGGGGTATCCAGATTATTAGCAGTTACTATTACTGATGTCATAATCATCTATTGGAGTTAGTGGCAAGCATATTTTTGAGTTTCCCAGGAGGAAACACTTGAGGCCACAAAGTGAGGTAGTTTTCAGCTCTACATCTGAAGTGCAGCATCTGCAGATCACCCCTCCATTTGGGGGGGTCAGAAAGACTTTAAAGTACAATATATTACAGTGTCTTTTCGGGTTCCGTACAGGAGATGTCCTGCCTATGTTTCCTCCTATGAAACACCAGGTCATACTTTCTCAAGTATTACAATGACAGGCCCAGCAAGTCTGATCTTTGCATTCTGCTCTGTACTCTGAGCACAGATACCTAGGCCTTTTTTGTAATCATATGTTAAACACGGCAGCACAGGAATGCATATGAAAACATTATTAGGCTGTACCTTTGTTTTGAAGGAGGAAGATGGAGTCCTCTGCAATTCCTTGCTCCATAGCAAACTGTTTGAAGTCTTCAATCAGATCTTGCCTCAGCTCAGTGGTGCGTCCTAAAGTGAAGAACAACCTACACGTTTTAAAAAATACCCTGCTTGTGGACTGTATTTTATTTATGGATTTACTGCCAAGAGATCCTGCAGCCCTTTCTAGAGTTCATAGAACTATTGATATCAGTCCCTATCCCTGGGGAATGGAGAAGATATAGGGTTACCACACGCAATGCAATCAAGGATGTAACATTGGAGACATGCAATGGGGGTGATAACAATCAACTGCAATATTGGAAGCAATAATTGTATGCATACAGGTTTCCAACATGGTAGAAAATGGAGCAGACACTTCTTCAAGTACTTATCACTAATGTAGCAGAGTATATATGGTGGGATGGTCTCTGTGAGAGCTTCCATTCTTGACAAAAGATCTGCTAGCCATACACACATATTGCACATTTCATTGAGTGGAAGACAGGTAACCTAGCAATATGTTTTTGGATTTTGGGAGGAGACTTATTGGGAGAACATAACGTACATACAGAACCCCTGGAGAGAATTAAAGCAAGGACCCTGGCCCTGTATAGTTCATGTGACATCTGTAGGCCTGTGCTTAGTGGCTTTTACATTTCTCAATAGATTAGGCCCATTCTCTATTATCATACTCACCGTACAGCTTAACTGTAGTGGTGATCTCGCCCCTCTTTGTCTTACGCATCAGCATTGTTGCATATTCATTGTAATTGGTGAACACAACATAGTTTTGGATCTGTGCACTCCATTCTGTAAGAACAAAAGAAAAATCCATAAACTATTAACAGGAAACCTGACAGATTCCAGCCACTAAGACACTTCAAGTTGAGCCTGCTGGGTGGCCGTTGAAGAGCCAAAAAATGCCAGTCTCTGGTTCAATGAGAACTGGGAAGATTAGGCTTAGACCAGGTTCTGGATATTCATTATTATCATTAGGTAAGTAAGGTGTAGCCTTACTTATGAAAAATATCTGCCTTGGTAAACTTTAAATCACCTAAACCCTGACAGTTGTTTCATTGTCATTTGTCTGACATCACACAATGTCGTCCAGCTCCTAAAGTTGGCCATACACTGTGCGAATTTCCACTGGTTCTCGACTAACCAGCCAAAATTTTCACAGTGGGTGCCTCTGTAGCCTCCCGCCTGGCTGGTTGGAAACTTTTAGGGTGAACAGTGACGGCAGCCAATTGGCTGCCATCAATGTTCAGGTTTTATGGGACTGGCAAGCCCACCACTGTCAGAATACAATAACCCAGCAGGAGATTCACTGTTTAGGGCTGATAGAGAAATCTGTTATACATTTTTCATTCAGCCTGCAGGTCGAACAAAAAAATATAACAATGTATGCAGGGCCGGATTTCCCACAAGGCCAACCGAAGCCCAGCCTTGGGGCAGAAGGGAGTAGAGGGGATGCAGGAGTGTGGAATTCCTATCTCCCAACAACTGGGACATGCAGTTCCGCCCACCGGGAGGGTATTTTGTTTCTACATTTAGCCCTGCTTTGGGCAAGCAGAGCGAAACGCTTTTGTGCAAGTGATCCCGGAAATGTCGCCGAGATCACTTGTATGCAGCATGCGGGGGAGAAAAAATAAGATAGATAAACATTTTAAAATTTAAAAACAATTTAAAAAATTTAAAAAAGTGATAAAAAAAGTTTTACAAAAATTAAGAAAAATAATTTAACACCAACCCTTAGGCGAGGAGGGGGGCAAATTGAGGAACCTGCCCTTGGGGCAGCAGAGAGAGTAAATCCAGCTCTGAGTGCATGGTCAGCTTTAGAGTGCATACTAGTATCCAATAGTTGTTTATGTTCCTCTTAACTGTGTCATTTGACACTGTTATACACACCCAGGAGCTGGGAAACAGTGCAGGATGTAAAGTAGTTGAAAAGGAAGCAGCTATCCCACTTTGGCTGAACTTTTACCTGTGACATTTAAACTGAAGAGTCAGACTCTACCAGCCAAGGGAAGGTAAAATATAAATATTTCTGTGCAATTTTAATCTTTTAAGGCTCAGTATTAAGATTTGAATTAGATCAGCTGTGACTGGTTCTGCTTAAGAACTTTTTGGCATCTTTTGAAACACTTTATGAAAGAATAAGATAAACCTACTTGCGTTGTAGTAATTAAACTTTCCAGGGACATCTGTCTTCTGGTAGGCACCCGTAACTTGTGTGCATGTTCCATGTCTGCAAGAAGTATGAGATGATCAATAAGTACCTAGATATATTGTTATTGTTTAATATTTATCTCTGCAGTTTGCTATTTTGCCACTAGATGGTAGTGTTGTACAATGTACAGCATTTCTTTGCAGTTGGAACTGCTATTTTAAGAAGACTGGAAGCCATACTCATAGCAGCCAGTTACATTTGAGCTTTCATATCTCAATCTGAAGTAGAAAGACAATATTTGGAATCTGTTTTCTATGAAAAAACATCATTTTCTTTTTTACAGTTTTCATTACTCATCTATGGAGGAAATATACAGTTAAGAGCAGTACATAATACAGGGAAGTAAAATTAAAAAGCTGCACTTATTTTATAATATAAAAATGAAAACTGTCCTGTTTTTAGTAAATTTGCACAAAGTAATGTAAGTTTTCACCTTATCCTTGTGTTGACAATTTGGACCTCATCATCTGTTTGCCCTTCGCTGAGCTCCAGAGTCCCCATGTCATACTTGTTTTTGTACTTCTTCAGCCACGAACATGTCGAGCCAATGGCGATGTCATACCATTTGCCATATATCTTAACAAGGTAAACAGAAACAGAAAAAAGAGATGCTAAATAGTGAGCCCCATAATTCCTGTATCTTTTACAACATTGGTCACACGAAGGGGCATTGATTTCACCCACTTGGGTAAGTTTCCACACTGTTCAGCACTGGAGCTTACCCAGGGTGGAGTCCTGCAGCAGGGAGGAGGCAAGGGTGCTGCGATAGGTGAATATACATGAATGGGGTGGGTTATCAGGGGCTACTGTTACTTTGTCCTAAATGGGAATGTGACAGTGTATTTTTACATCTGTATCCTTAAAATATAACTGTGCTGAAAGTATATGGACATTGTTGTTACTCCTTCAATAATGTTATTGTACTGGCTGCCATAGCAGTCCAGTTGCTTTAGTACTTTTTCTCTGACCACGTATGCAGTATAGGAGCTTTCCCTTTTTTTGTGACTTTGTTTGCTGCATGCTTGTTTTTGGTCAGAGATCCACACGGTATTCAAGCCAGACACAGCCAAGAACGTTAAAGCATTTTCAGAGGGAGGTTGTCAATGACAGTCTACATATTTACATAAGTATAAGCCAAAACTTTTTTCACAGTTTTGGGTAGAGTGAGGGATGGTTAGGACCCCGTCAGTTTGTTTTTTCTACATTTTCCCTATACTGCCTGGGAGATTGCCCTTTACCTCCTGTCTCAAAAACACAGCAAGAAGCAAGAGGATATCTGCTTTTACACAGTTATGGTCAAAACCCCATTAGAAGATTAACCTGCATCTCCTGTTCCTGTGAAACCTACAAAAGTTAGGATTTCTCATTATTTTTCTGCACCAAAGAAAATGGTCATCATGAAAATTAGGGAAGCCGAATCTCCGCATTGTGAGCACAGACAACAAAACAAGAAAGTGACGGAGGTTCTAACCCTTCTACAACTCAAAAAAATGATGGCTTTTCATACTTGTTAAAACCCTCATCCTTAAAATGCTGGACCCGCCGTACTGGTCAACTGCTACTAGCCTCGAATCCAGATGTGATGTTAAAATAGGCAGTCTGTACATTGTATATTTTTAGTTATCTGTGACTTTGTAGGAACCAGACGTCTCTCTTTGTCTTTTGTTTTGGTTTTTGTATTGTATATTGAAAATCTTTCATAAAAATTAACTGATTATAAAAAAATTAGGTAGTCAATCTGAAAATGAAATAAAGAACATTTCATCCAATGCATTACCTGTGTCAGGGTCTGACACTTAGAATTAAGTTCTGAAAAGGGCTGTAATGTCTCTCTCTATAATTTTAGTCGCCTGTTACTTATCATTTGGAAACAGATTGATACATCATATAAATTTGAAATTTAAGCAGAACAGAAAAGCCGCAGCACTTATTTACAACATTTTTCTCCTCCAGCAGAAACATATTTAACAATAAAATCATTCTTTACTAATTGTGGGAAGGAACACAGAAGGATAAAAAATTAATTGTGAAGCTTTGGTAGCGGTGAATAGTAAAATGGAGTGCTTTTGTGGAGAATCAAGAGATTTTACACAAATTTTTTCATTTTAGCTAAATGCATTGGAATCAAGCGGAGACCAAATTAAGGTGATTCTTGCTTGTTTGTGCAATGGGCTTTATCCTGGGATTTTTCTTGTACCACTCTCATTATCTCTCAGTGAGCTATATTGAGAGTTTCACTTTGGTAAACCGAATCCAAAAGCAATATCAGTAAATTCCTGGCTGAATTATTATGCTGAAATCACTCTGTGCATCCCTAATGATTAAAATGCAATTAGTGGGACTGGTGGAAGAACGTAAACTGTTGTTATCATCCATTTTCTACATTAACAGGAACACAATTAAGTGAAGTCAGAAAGTTACCCTGGTGACATCAAAGTTCTCCTGGGGTGTGATGGAGACCTCCGTCTCAACAGGGCTGCCAGTTACTAGTGCCAGGAGGGCAGACAGGAAAAGTAGGTATGTCTTCATGTTCTTTGTCTGAATCCCTCTCCTCCAGAAGTAAACTGTACTGCTCACCAGATCCTCAAAGATTAATGTCCGAGAACCCTGAGTACAAAGACCTGTGCCCAGTGCCCAGCATTTCATCATCGATTTCCACCAATGGCAAGCAGACTAAATATTGATCCACCTTTAGAAAAGAAGAAAAAAGGAGGCCCAACTTTGCTCCTCCTATCCCGACAGAACAGGTTTCAGTAAATACTATGAGGGCTGATGAGGATGTTGGTCACTTTGTAGACAGAAAATCAATAATTTATTTTATGTTACTTTTTTAACTTGCAGCAGTTGAGTCTATGACAAGTTCCTTTCATTAAAGCCGTATCTGGTATGGGTGGATATAAATATTCCTTTAATGGAGTGTTGATGAGTGCAGAACCAGCATTGAAATCTATGCTGGACTAGATTTAAAAAGCGGTTCTTTTGTTAAAAGGATGAATCTCCTTCAACCCTTTCCTACACTATTAAAAACTCAAAAATGCTTTGGGTTTGTAAATGATTAAAGGCAAGCTAAAGTTGCCTCTCAAACAGTATTATATCATATTTTGTTCTTTTAATGTGAGAATATAGAACAGTAAGCCATGTGTGTTAGAGAATTTAGCTTTCCACCATTATATCTCCTTCATATTACAACCTAATTCCACCCATTTTAAGCCAAATTTGTATTGCATTTTCTAATTCCATTGGGGAGATTTCCCCCAGCTTTCTTGTTTGGTGAATGGGACCGGATAGAATCATAGAAGTTTTATCCCATCCCATTCTACTCAAAAGTTTATCTTGTTTCTTACACTTTAGTTGGCTTTGGAGGAGGATGTTTAGTAATTTGATTTTATGGTGTCTAAACAGACAAGGTAGAACAATTATCGTATTTAGGGATTATGGGATTATGTTCATTATAGTATTTTTTTTTTTAAACTTCTGTCTATATGTTCAGTAGGCAGTGACCTATTTTCCAGTTAACATGACCTCTGATCTCTGTGTTTACCTTCCTGCAATGATTAACTAATGAAAAACAAACTCATGTCAAAGAGCAAATATCAAAGCTTGTCTCTTTCTGACTAAATTCATACAGAACGTTTGTAGATTAGGTGCAACCCTCTATCGGCTAACTTGAGTTAGTAAACTTGCAAGCTTTCAGTACCTATTAGGTAGATTCCCCAATCACTCAATTACAAAAACTAGAGGCCACCACCTAAAATTGGCGGGGAAAAAATCCAGCACAAGGGACGAAGGGGGTTCTTCACAGTTAGAGCGGTTAGGGTCGGGAACTCGCTGACACAGGCAGTGATTTCAGCAAAGAATGTGGAATCATTCAGGAAGCTTTTGGACGATTTCCTGAGAGACCGTAATATACAGGGGTACAGGTATTAACGAGATGATACATGGACCTCTACATACTCACACATGAGCAATAGGTTGGACTTGATGGACTTATGTCTTTATTCAACCTCAAATACTATGTAACTATGAAACTATGCTTGAGTAAGGAACCTAACAAACCCTGAAAGCTTGCATCTTTAATAACTCAAGTTGGCTAATAAAGGGTTTCACTCAAACTCAAAACATTCCTAATTGATGGATAGCAGGGTACAAGCAGGTTAAGACTTGAGTATTAATTAAAACAAAAAACTATTGTTTGAGGAGCAGAGTTGCCATACCAAAAATTTATTTTTATGGAGCTCAAAAGACAGCATCAGAGATTGTACAATGTTTGTACTGCTTGTTGTAAACACTAACTGTGTTAGTTCAATATTAGGAATTTGAGTAAAATAGCGTTTTGGATAGAGTGAGAGAGGGTTAGAAGTTAGAACCCTTGTGAGGGTTTTGTTGTTGGATGCTGATTTGTTTGGGAGATTGTGCCTCACTAAATCCAAAGTTTTACTGTACACTTGTTAGGTTTACAGGTCCTCCAAGCGGGACAGTGGGAATTTTTCTCGAAGTAGCTACCTGGTGTGGCTCTGGGACATGGAGTGAATCTTTCCAACAGCAACAGCATGGCATAGTTTGGCAACTGTGGCACCCAGGACTCTCAGCCAGAGGGGCTGAGAGGGTCCAGAGTGTAAAACATTTCATAAAGAAGAACCTGGCTTTTCAGATTCTTCCACATTTTCCTAATTGCAGCTGGGATCTCCAGTCCTGGAGCCAGGTCTTGCCAACAACCAGTCTGGGCTGATCAGGTGGCTGAGAGCAGCCAGACCAGAACTCCGTGTGGGTGTCCTTACTCATACGCTGACAGGGTGGATCCCGTCTGCGTCCAAGCAGGGACACCGGCACAAACGTACAGGGCGGGTGAGCGTAGGGCGGCGTACTCCCATAGAGAATGACAGGCTGCTGCGTACAAATCACACGCAGCACCTGACCTTCCCAGGAGCGGCCCGATGTGGCCGTGCACGCAGCTCGGATCTTTACGGGCCGGTCGTTACCCGTGTGAATGAGGGCTAGAGGTACGCAAGAGCTCAAGGCATCCCAGTTTGAATTGGGGTCCCCCCTTCACCTCAGAGTCCCCCCTTCAATTCAGAGTCCTACGTAACGCACAGCACAGATGCAAAGGGCGGGAGGCAGAACTGTTCTGGACAGAGATGGACTCCTGATACAGAGTTCTCTTCTGAATGCTGGGTTGGCTCTGAATGCCTTCATATCTGCACTATGGAAATGCATGCTGCTGTGTGAAAGTGCAGGACAAACTGTGTGCACCTCTGATAAACCCAGATCGTACCTCAGTAGAGAATGGTTGATCAATGTACATGGAACAATCTTTTTTGACATTCTGATCTCACCATTGATTGAAAACAATAGGCTCTCTACAGCAGCATTTCCCAACCTTTTTTCAGGCAGGTCACCCTTTAAAAGTATTCACAATTTGAGGGGGGCGCATGCGCGCTCAGAGCTAGGACGGACGCGTTTTAGTTCGGCTCCGTACCTGCCGGGTCCCGAATAGCCTCTACAGCCTCCCAGACTGACGCAAATTTATCTCCTACTCACCGGGCGGCATCTTCTACACATCGCGAATCGACACCATGTCCCGCCCGGGCACCAAAACGAAGCAGAAGCCGCAAAACCCTAAAGAAACTCTGGCCGGTACGGCCGCCAAAATGGCGCCTTCAGGCCTGCGCGCCTCTCCTTTCACTCGAGCGGCCTCTTATAAAAAAAAAAAAGACTTCACAATTTTGAGACACTCCAGTCTAAAATGAAAACAAATGTAAATGTAAAAAAATGATGCATGGTCCCTCCAAAATCCATACCAGATTTTAAGGGGGAACTCAATTCAAAAACACAAAATAAGTGGGGTCCCCCTTCACATTAGAAGCCCTTCTCATCAAAGCCCCCACTTTTCACATCAGAGTCCCCCTTCACATCAAAAGCCTCCTCCTTTCATATCAGACTCCTCTGATATGAAAGGCCTGCGAGCTGTATCCAGCGAGTGGTAGGTTATGCAAAATGTCTTAAACAGGAAGGGGTGGGGCAAATTTAGATTAGTGTTGCCTGAATGTAGTCTTGCTTAGGGCAGCAGAAAACCAAAACACACCACTGCCTAAACCAGTGAAGCAGACAGGACTGGACTGGCCATCAGGCATACCGGGCAATGGCCTAGTGGGCTGAGGCAAGCCAGGCCGGCTGGGCCGCACAGAATCAGGCTGGCTTTGTACAGGAGGTGAAGGAGAAGCAGCGGGCAGATCTGGGCTGTCCACAGCATGCAATCTGACAGTGGGATTTCCCAGAGGCAGGCTCGGGGGCTATAATGTGTCCTGCTGGTACTGATGGCACTTCGGGCTACAGGTAAGAAGAGCAGCACACGTGTGCAGGGAAAGAGACCCTGCACAGCCCACCTGAGACCCCGCACAGCCCACCATAGACACCCACATAGCCCAACATATACCCAGTGCAGCTCACCTGAGACTCCGCAGAGCTCACCTGAGATGCTGGCAGAAGTGATACAGCATGTGCCTGTTACTATTTAAACAGGTGCTTGCTGTATCCAGCTTCTGACAAGATAAGGAAAATGCACAGCAGGCTTTCCCACTACACTAAAAACGCAACTTGTTAGTAGCTGAATACAGCGCTCGCACTGTATCCAGCGACTGACAGATTACTTAAAATGTCTTAAGCAGGAAGGAGTGGGGCAAATTTAGATTAGAGGGGGTGCCCAAGTTTAGTCTTGCCTAGGGCAGCACAAAACCAGAATACACCACTGATGTCTTGTGTCGAGTTTATAACCTTACACATTTTTGTGTTGTCAGCAAACACTGAAACAAGGCTATTAATACCAACCTCCGTATCGTTAAATCCCTCCCTCTTAAATTTTTTTAAATGCCATTTTTTTTCTCATTGATATGTTGTTTTACTGTTGAATTCAACCACATAGGTTTAACTTTTGATCTTTTATATTTGTTACCCAAAGGTATGCACTGGCACATGCCATTGTTTATTATGTCCTTAAAACATTCCCACTTGTCCTCAATCATGTTTGTTATAAATATGTGGTCCTTGTTGGTACCATACAGTAAAGAGCACAGCTTATTGAAATTTGCATTTTTGAAATTCAGAGTTAATAACAATATGCCTCTTTTCTATAAATTACCACAAATGTAATCACTCTGTTTTCACTATTGCCCAAGTAATCCCTAATTTCTATGTCTGCAGCAAGCTCCTTGTTGTTTGAAATTGTTAGCTCTAACATAGGTTTTTTAGTTTAGGTGGGGACTTCCACTATTTGATCTATGAAATTGTACCGTAATAAGAAACGACAAGCCTTTGTTGAGTGTGCTGTTCCATTTGCCCAATGAATGTTGAGATAATTGAAGTCTCCCATAATAATAATAATATTGCTAATTTTCCCAGCCATTTTAATGTGTGAGAAGAGCTGAGTCTCCTCTTCTTCATTTATGTTTGGAAGTCTATTGCATACACCCATAATCAGTCTACAATTCGTGTCAGTCTTATATAGCTCCAGCTATAAAGACTCTGCACCGTCACAACTCTCATTAGTTTTTATGGTTAATAGATGGAGAGAGAAAGAGACTTTCTTATTTGTTGGTGATATCGCAGTGCCATCCACTAGTCATGGTAGCACCCACCGCCAAGGGATTTAT